AAAGAAAAGGAATAATACGTGCATCCAGTTATCCAACCTTGTCATCACAACACTTGCACTGTGACAGAGATGGAGTGGGATTGTAAGACTAAGGGTTTGAATTATTATTAAGGATGATTTTCAGCTTTGATGGCTCCTCCCAGTCATGCTGATAGCCTGTCAAATATGAGGAACTTCACAGTGGCGTCAATACACCAAAGAAAACCGAAGTCCACTCAAAGGATAGAAATTGCTATTTTCCTGGCCCTCACTTCAGTCCTGCTCTTTGCTCCAGAGGAACTTTGTTTCTGGGGGAGCTCCTGCTACATAAAATGTACACTTTTAGCTTTCTCCTGTAGAGGATGGACCTGACAGCTGTATCTCTGGGATATCTCCGAACACAGGCCCATCCCTCTGGAACATCTCAGAGACACCTCAGGTCCAGCCTATCAGAATTCCAGGTCTGTAGCTGGGCATGCACACCTGTAATCCCAGCACTGTGGGAGACTAGGGCAGCAGGACTGCAAGTTCAAGCCCACCTGGTCAATTTAGCCACTCAGTGAGACCTCATCTCAAAATTTCTTTTTAAAAATGGATGGAGATGTAACAAAATGTGAAGGACTTGAGTTCAATCCCACCACACACACACACAAAAAAAATCAGATTTTCCTTGCCTTCCTCCTCCTTCATTTCCTAAGTACTGACACATCTTTCACTTTTTTCTTTCCTGCGACGCATCCTAAATATGTGCCTTGCCTCTGCTTTCCCCATGTCCTGTACCTCCCCACTCCCAGCTCCAAGGGTCTCCAACCCCAGCCCTATTTCTTGAAGGCACCCTGTGCCTGTGCTTTCCAAGTGTCCCCACTGTCAAGAGAATGGGCCCCCTCCCTGGCCAGGGGCTCTGCCTGCACCCCACCACACACTATCCCACACTCTGCAGCCTATTTCCCATCCTCAAGCCCTTATCTTCCTCCCACTGATGTTGGAAGTGTTTTCACTCCCCCTCTCCTGATGGTGCTGCCTAGTGAGGTCTGCACATTGGGTCCTGAAAGCACAACTCATCACCCCTCGCATTCATCCCCCATCGGAGCTCTGGGAGCAGGAATGGGTGGGCCCTGGAGCAGCTTCAGAGCCCACACAATGGTGCCAGCAAGGAGTTAGATGGAGGGTTGGTTGGCTCAAGAGGTAAAATTTACCCTGTGGAAAAAAAGCATATTATTTTTCCCAAATGGCAAAAGCTGGTTTTAAAGAGAGCCTAATATACTATATTGCCATGGTTCACTTAATTTCAGTATGACTGAGTAAAACTTTTAAATTAGATGGTCAGCCCCTTGCTGTCAGGCTTCCCCTCACTCTCCTGCCCACCTGCTACTGTCATCATTCACTTCAGCATGGCACCAATGCCTTCTTACGCATGAGGGACTTCCTGCTCTTTGAGATTTCTCTCTCTCTCTCTCTCTCTCTCTCTCTCTCTCTATCTATCTCTCTCTCTTTCTCTCTGCATTTCAGCCATCTCCAAAATGCTCAGTACTCTCCTCTGTTCTGACATCTCTGGACTTACTAGGTCTGTCCCATCTATTCATCCAAAATGCCAGATATTCTCCTTTCCCTGTGCTTTCTTTTGGGGTTGTGTCTTCGATACAGAGTGTCTTTTCCCACTGCCTCCCTCTTGTTTTTCTGAGCTGAAGGACAGGGCTGCCTCACTACCATGTTGGGGTAGCTCCTGGGTTGTTATTTATAGTCAGACCCATCTGGGGTGGTGCAGGGTGCAGCCTCTCTGGAACAATGATGCACTAGCTAGATTTGGGGGGGTTCCACATTGACTCTGGTGGGCCAGGATACTGGGGAGCCTCCCCTACACCAGTTCTCATGAAGGTGAGGTACATTTCCTTTCATTAAAACTGCTAATGTGAGGCTTATTATACTCAGGGGTAAGGTGACCTCAGGGACGGTGGGGAAAAGCTAGAGAGCAGAAGAAACCTGACAGACGGCCTTCCTCCCATAAAATATGAAATCCAGACAGTTAAGAAGTTAAAATGAACCCACTGGGTAAATTACTATGTGTCACTTAAAAATTAAAAACAAAGAAAGTAAGTTTTTATGAAAAGAAAGAATAGCTAGTATAAATGGGGATGCCTTACAGCCAGGGACATGTGCAGGCACAGTGGGGAGCTGGGAAGGGCCTCAGAGGGTGGACAGCAGGGGCCCAGCACTCAGGAGAGGAGAGAGAGGAAGGGTGTCAAGGAGAGAATGCACTGGCTGTCTCCGGAATAAGGAGGAGCCAGGGGCAGAGCTTCCAGTAGGACATGGAGACAGTGGTATGAAGGAAGTGGCTGTGGTGTCCTCTGTCTTGCTGCAAAAACCTGGGTCCCCCAGGCATAATAGGAGTGCTTAGAAGTGACCCTGAATACACCAAGAAAACATTGTGACTGTTTTCCTGTGCTTATGCACCTATGATTGTCACTGGGAAACCCGGGAAGAGATTTGGAGGAGCTTTCTGGAAGAAAGAGTGAGGACAGGTAGCAGAGTGGGGCATGGTCCCCCACCCCCAGAATCAAGGTCTCAGCTGCAGCAATTGCATCAGGACCACAGAACTGTCAGCTGGTGCCATGGAGGCCAGGTGGGCAACTGCAAAAGAGTTCTGACGCTGCCCAGGACCCAGGCCAGAGTAGATCCGAGGGTCGTGAGCCAGCAGACGTCAGTAGACCCAATAAGAGGACAGGAGAAGCTGGCTGTGAAGGTCTCGTAGCCACATGGTGATGCCCAATACATGTTCCTCTGTGTGGGTCCCTGCTTCCTTCTGAATGAGGAAAATGTAGACATAAGGGATGTGAGTGGTAGCATTGTGTCTTACAAAGGTATGTCCATGATCTCTGGTGCATTTCTGGTTAAGAGTCACACATTTCCTTTGTTAACAAGTCATTAGCAAGAAGCAAGATGTCATGAACTGGGGATTCAAGGCTTGGGCTCCAGTTCTGGCCCCTCCTGTACACTACAACAAGGTCAGGCTGAGCTGAGAAATCAGGATGCATGAGGACATCCAGAGGTCACCGCCTCACCAGGGAGGGTGCCCCGCTCCACAGAGCTCAGATTCTCAGAAGTGCCAGGGCTTCAGCCCTTGCCAGCCACACAAAAAGGAACACATAATGGGTGGAATGCAAGGCTGTCCTGCACCCCCATTTCTGACTGTGCCCCAGCATCTCCCCAGAGCAGAGCACTGCCAGAGCAGACAGCATTCTCTTTTACACAGCCCTCTTATCCTGAATGTCGATAGAGAGTGAAACATCTTCAAAGCCAAAGCATTTCCCTGCCATCAAAAACAAAGCCACAGCAGAAAAGGATTTAATATCTACCACTGCAAATTTTACTTACTCAAAATATTAATTGGTTACAGCCTTCTTTGATTCAAAAGTCTTTTGCAATCTTGGAACACATAAAGGAAGCTAAAACATAGGCATACATCTTACCCTTAGGCAAGTGCATAAAAAGTGAGTAAGAAATTAAAGGAGGATATATACTTGTTTCTGGAAGTTTTCCAGGTCATTTCTGGTTGAAGTGAGTACTTACAAGCCAGGAAGCCTGAACAGAAAACTAATAATTGATAGGGCTCTCAGAACCATCCTTCCCTGAAAACAATCTGAGGAAACTGCCTTTTTCCTGTTTTCAATATAAAACAATTCAATATTTATGCCATTTTTTGTACTGTACAAAATGCCTTCTCTTAGTAATCTCTTCAGTGACACTAGCAGTATTTTTCCTGGAATTCTTTTCAAAAAATAGAAAGGATTCCATTCCTATTCTTGGTTTGTGTGATCCAGTTTTCATAGACATTGGCTGTTTGGAGAGGCTGGTCAGAGCCCCACTGAGAAGAACCTATACAGATATAGACAGAAAAGACAAGGCCTCCAAGAGCACACAGATTAAATCACAACATAAGAACATCAGGAGACATAGGAGCTGTGATCAAAAACTACAGTGAATGTTTAAAAAATTTTTAACCATCTATTACATGAATCTCCCTCAAAATGCTCCCTCTGCTTCAAATACACTTGTCCCATCATTCTTGCCACTTTCTGCAACAGCTCTGGTAGTCCTCTTTTGTGAGCGTCTTTAGCTGTGCTGACCTAACTGCCTCAATGTTCTAAATCAATTCAAAGCATTTCCCTTTCATGGCCATTTTTAATTTAGGGAAGAGCCACAAGTCACACTATGCCAGATCTGGTGAATAAGGTGGATAAGGACTGTGTGTCGTGTTTTTACAAGCCTGCTTTTCCATTGGATGGCACTTGGCAGAGGCCGTCACCATATTTTTTATCACACCTGTAAAGACACTTGGGAAAGAGGATCCAGAATAGACAGATGATCCACAAGGACAGGAAGTGGGATGCCAGGGTCTTGGGAGGGTCTGGAGAGTCCATGTTTAATGGAGATAGAGCTTTAGTTTGCAGCAACAGAAAGTTCTGGAGATGGCTGATAGGATGGTTGTGTCACAGTGTGAATCTCCTCAATACCTTGGAGCTGTGCATTTAATATGGCTAAATCCTTTTCAGAAGAGGCCACACCATGTTTAAAGTCTGACCTCTTACCAGATGGTTGGTGCCATCCAACTAATGACCATCCCCAGCTGCTTGGTTGGCACAGGCAGGTGCTCACCATGAGATTTGTATCAAATGCCAAGTCTCCATTCCCAGCCCACCAATCTTAATCACTAAGAAGAACTACAATCACTAAAATATCCAATGAAATCTGATGTTAGACTACCCAAAGAATCAGACCACCATTGTTCAGCCCTGGAAAATGATAGACTTGGGCAAAATTCATGAAATTGTTGATTGATCCCTAAATACAGATGATGTTGTGGTGGGTGACCCTGTAATGATTCTGAGACCACCTGTCTTCTCTCAAATAATTGCAACAGGAGGATGAAAACCTCCTGAAATTTTCAGATTTTTTTTTTAAGAACACCTGATTTGTACCAACTTCCTCCATTAACACTAATCTTTTTCTTATTTCTGAATTAGATATTCATCTTTGAGAACAACATCTACTACTGCGCACATGTGGGAAAGCAAGCCATCCGTGTGGTCTCCACAGGGAAGGAGGGCGTCATTTACAATGGCCTCACTGATTGGCTGTATGAAGGTAAGGCTCAGGGCAGCTCAGGGCTGGAGATGTGCACCTGTGGGTACTGTAGCTGTTGCTAGACTGGGAGGTGAGCTTTTTCTTTGACTTTAACTATAAATTAAATTCCAGCTTCTTGAGGGTTGGCCAAGTTGAGAAGATGCTATTGGAGCTTCAAGGGACCTCCACTGAGGGTTCACAGGTGGCAGATGAGGGGACATCACTGAGCCCCTCCATTCTCTGCAGAGCAAGAGGTGGACTGTTCGGTGAAGCCCTGAAGTCCTGTGAAAAATGCTGCCCTTGGAAAAAAATCAAAAAGTCTTATTTCCAGAAACAACTAGCAAACTGGGTCCTGTGTGTCCCTGACATCCAAGATGCTCAACAAGGTCCTCTATCCCATGTCCACTGGGCTCAGAGTCTGGATGGCCAAGGGAACCTGGTGTGGGTGGAGCTCCAAGTGGTTACTGAAAGACTGCGGAATCACTGGGGCCCAGACAGTAGAGCCAGCCCAGTCACAGAACTTGGTGGTGCCTCCCACTCCCAAGAGCTCAACCTGCTCATCTGAAGGTGGGACCCATGCCCTAAGCACACAAAGCCCTTGTGATTAGGTGAGATTGTGAGCAAGTGGGTGGCCAGCTCATGGGGATTACAGCTGTTGTGTCTTATAAAAAATAACTCTTGTAGTCATAATGAATGTGGTTACTATTACTGTAACCTTTTGTTGCTATTATTTTTATTGTAAGGGAAGGAAAGCATTTAACAAACAAAAGCACAGGCATCCAGGCAGCGTTTCACAGGCTACCATCCCAGTCCACACAGAAATTGTGTGCCTGACACTTCAGAAGAGATCATGCCTGTTAGGCACATCCAGGACCCAGAAGAGAAAGGCCCTCATTCTGGCTGCAGGGCCTCAGCTTGCTCTGTGACTAATCTCCTTTAAAAATCCATAACCAGGAGACTGAAAACATCTTTTTTCAACATCCTTTTAAAGAAATAATTCATTGCTTTGCCATTCACATTAAGCTTTTGCTTTAGCAAATCCATTGAAAGGGATTTTTTCAAGTCATTTACATTACAAGAAAATGTGTAGATACGATAACAGAGCCCCAAATATTTTAAATCAATCTCAGTGATGTGGCAGCTTAATCTACTTAGTGTTGTTCCCAGGAAGATTCCATATGCTGATGCTTAGACTCCTGCAGTTAAGAGCCCAGGGCCTTGGGCAAATCTTGCTTCCTCTTTTAATAATGGGAAAATGTTGCTTTTGCCTAATAGGTAATTTAATTGTTTTATTCTAGACCCTACCTTTCAGGGGGTGGCTGGGCAGTAACTGGAGAGAAACATATTCTGAAAGTGTTTGCAGGGACTGACTTGCCTAGAGAGATTGGTGTGGAGCAGAGGCTAAGAGGCTAAGCCACACGTGTGCAAACAGCCACTGTCCTCTGTCGATAGCAGCATTGATTTGTTTCCTAAAAAGATCTCAGGTATATTGAGTGTTGCCAAGTAGCAGAGATAGAGGGAGACGAAGTAGGAAACATGGGAGCTTCGAATGGGAAAGGCTCCTGCAGTTCACTGAAGCAGTCACTGTATGTCAAATCTTGAGCTCAGGGCTGGCTTAGCATTATCACTGTCCCTGTTCCCTAGGGACCCTGTTCCATGGTCAGGGTGACCAGAGACTGGTTTTGATAGGCAAATTGCATATCTGTTCTCTTCTGAACAAATATCATGGGGTTCTGTCGAATTTTGACTTAAATATAAAAATAAAGGCAGCATAAAGGTATCTTACAACTGCATTACACTTTTCTCAAATTGGTTATCCATAAACGTAAGAGGTTCCTTGAGTGTCTTGAAGATCCTGAAGGATTCTGCAAAGAATCTGCTCTTTCATGCACAGCTTGATAATAATTTCACAAGGAAGTATATATATGGACAAAGAATCGTTATTCAAATTTTTGTGAAAAGTTCTTTGTTGCCGTGGTTACGGGGCTGGTATATTTTCGAGTTGCTCTTCTTTGTATATGAAGTATTGTTAGCTCGTTCTTACCCTTATATCCTTCACATGAGATACAGAGGTGCAGCACAGAATTTGGGGCCCACAGTTTTATAATAATAAGACTCTACATCACTAATGTTCCAGCTGAATAAGGAGCCCTCTATTTGCAGAGCAGCCATGTGCACCATCCAAAGCTAATACAACAGCCAGGTGTGATGGCGCATACCTGTAAACCCAGCACTCTGGGAGGCTGAGGCAAGAGGATCACATCCTGGGCATCTTGGTGACTTAGCAAGACCCTGTCTCAAAATGCATAATAAAAAGGGCTAGGGTTGTAGCTCAGTGTGAAGGCCCTGTGTTCAATTCCAGAATAAAGAAAAGTTATTTTATTTATGCCACTGTCGTGGAATGGCCCAGGCCATTGGAAGGTTAAATGGGCTGGGGTCTCTTCTCCTGGGTGTGTACAAGGTCTCATCTCCACCCATCTGAAGAGAAAGCGGGGGCAGGCGCTGTCAGTGAACTTGAGAAGCTACTCACAGAGCAGAGCGTGGGACCAGCCTGCTCAGAGGACAGAGTTGAGAAAGTGGCCTGAAGAGTTCTGTAATTTGCTTGAGATCTGGTTCGGTGTGGATGTTATTTGCTATGGCTTTATTTCCCTGTGTGCCCCATGGGTGAGTCCGTAGCTGCATGTGCTACTGGGAGGCTGAACCTGGTTGGAGGAGGTCACTGCACGTGACCTAGAAGGGTGTGTTCTTGTCCCCGGCTCCTTCATCCTCTCTGCTTCCCTAGTGTCATAGGGTGAGCAGCTCTCCTCCACCATCTCCTTTCCCCTGACTTGGAGCCAGCCAAGCATGGTTTGCCAGTCCTCTACAAACCAGGAGCCAAGATGAACCTCTCCTCCTTGAAAGTGTGGGTGTCTGCTATTTTCTCCCAGTGACAAGAAGGTGGCTCACGCAGATTCCAGTGCTGATTTTCAACCATAAGTAGTCCTGAGCTTACTACCATTTGGCACCTGGGGTCAGCCGAGGAGACCTGCTTGACAATGCTGCACAGCCTTGGTGGAAGAGCAAGAAGAATGTTCCACACTGGTCCTCGCCAGCCCCTTCTAGCATCCATACCTTGTTGGTCTGGGAACTGTCCTCAGAGCATCCAGAGGGAAGTCCTGTGACAGCAGTGTTCACTCATCCTGCCCCTGCTGCTCCCTTGACTTCCTCTAGTCTCGCTGGCCCCCTCCCACTTCCAGTGGCCCTGCCTGCCACTCCCAAGTCCCACCTCCTCTCCAGGTGACAGCCTGAGGCCGTCCAGGCCCCACGAGGACCCTGACCTGTGTCCATCTGCTGGGAGCCTCTGAAAGATCATCTCGATGCCCCATGCCTACCACTGCCTCTCTCTGAGGATGGAGCCCAGGCAGTGAGCTCTTGGCCCCTGGCTGTGTGCCACGACTGACATTCAAAGGTTTATCCAGAGACTCAAAGTCAGCCAGAGCCAGGCCTGCTCTGAAGCCTTTGCCCAGCTTCTCAAAGCATCTTTTTTCCCCAATACTAGGGATAGAACCCAGGGCCTTCACACAGAGCTACATCCCTGGCCCTATTTATTTCTTTCTATTTTGAGACGGGTCTGATTTAGTCTTGCTAAGCCACTAAGTTGCCGAGGCAGGGCTCAAACTTGCCATCCTACCTTCCAGATTGCAGGCCTGCACCACCAAAACCAGCTTCAAAGCACCTTCCAGAGTCAGCCCTAGTGAGTTCATGGTTTTCTACTCCAATGAAAGGTCAGGTGGGTAAATCTGAATTACTGACATTTTCGGCCTTATAATGTTGAGTATTCGTAGAGGCGAGGGGTTGGGGGAAGCATCTTCATAGATGCGTGGAACTACCTTGAGCATGTCTGCCTCCCACAAAAAATATGTCGCTGAAAGGAAAAGGGAAAGAAACCCTTATTGGTTCATCTGGCTCACCCCATATGTTCCTAATCCCATGAGGACAAACAGAAGGATTAAGTAGCATTCCATGGGTGACTTTCATGTTGGCTTTAACTGAAACATGTAACACATGCAATATCTTTGTGCCTGATGTATCTATTGTACATGCTGGCCACCTGTGTGCTAAGGGCCCGCTTTCTGCTTGTGGTGGACAGACAAAAACCCATTTGGACCATGAGTGACCATCTACATCTTTTAGTAACTTACTTGGTCTTGGACTGTTAGAGATAGGTGGGGAAATACAGCCCACTATCTTTTTACCGGAGAAAGGTTTTATGCCTCCTCTTGTACTATTTTTAACACTTCCTCCACCCGGACAGGTACTTAGAGAAGGGTTTGGAATTCTTATGGTGTGTAGACTCTGCTCTGGTGGATATTCTTGATTGGGCTCTTCAGACTGCAACTGTCTGCAAAGGACCAGATGAGGGCACTTCTTGCAGTAGTGAATTTCTCCCAGGACATAGATCAAAGTGGGTTTACACAGCCATCACACATCCCACTGATCAAACTGATTGCGTGGGGGTGGGGGGTACTGAGGATTGAACCTACGGCCTTCTCAGTGAGCTACATCCCCAGCAGCCCTTTCTTTTTTATATATAATTTTGAGGTCACTGTGTTACTCAGGCTGATCTCAAACTTGCAATTCTGCTGCCTCAGCTTCATGGACTGTTGGGATTACAGGTGTGCACAACCATACCCAGCTCAAACTGATATTTTAAAAGTAAATCATAGGTCTGCTAGTACAATGAGACTCCAAATAATGCTCTAATGTGTACTTTCTACCAAAACCATGAATTTGTCACTCTTTGGACTTCCTGGCATCACATCTCTGCTTTCCATGATGGGAAATGTTTGCTGAACAAGGAAGTCACTGTCAGTAAATGGGCCAAACTCCGGGACTTCCTTACCAAGCTCTCAGGAGGAAGGACTGTGAAGAGGGTATGTGGGACTGCTCCTGAGAGTGCCTACATCAGATAGTGGCTCCACCTCCTAAAAGCTCTTTCATTCCAGGCGAATATTTAACCTCTGTTGTCTTGTGTGCAAACA